TGTTTGTAAGAAGAGTTAGTTCTGTTGTCAGCCAACCGAAGAAAGAGCAAGATGGTTTTTCATACCTTTTCTTAGGTGACATCTAGGCAGTTTTACCCTCTTCCCTTTTATTTAAATGGTTTTCTTAGTTCATGTGTGTATATATATATATAAGTACATAGTATATTGAGTTTGTTTTCCTGACCTTATATGTGGATAAATAAGAATAAGAATGGGAGTTCAAATTGAACTTTTTGTTCTGGTTTCTTCCTTTCAGAATGTAACCTTGATGCTTTTCATTGACTTTTTGTTTATAATCCACATATTATTATTATCATTGAATGAGAGTTTCGTCTCTATGACAGAAAATCTGAACATAACTAGATATGGTTCCAACCTTCTTTAAATAAAGGACAATATCTCCAAAGACTAATCATAAAACCTCCTTGAAGGGGCTTGAAGCCTAATCATACAACAAACCAGAATGCTTTCATTTTTAAGGTTCAAAGGAATTGAAGAATTTGTACCAAAGAGACTTAGGTACTCACTCATAGTCTTTCTTTACCTCTAAAGTTATTCCTCATTGTAACTTCTTGGAAACAAACAATTAAACTTGTTTGACATTTGCTAGGGACGGTTGATTTAGAGCAACTTTTTGTCAAGGTAGCTTTTGACATCTAAATTAAACTCAAAATCTTTTTAATATAAATTATTAAATAACATTTTTTATGAAAAAAAAAACATGATATTATCAATGTATGACTTATTTTAAAATAGAGATGAATATAAGGACAAGAAAAACATTTTCATATTAATCAACCTACCTTATTTAAAAAGATATTAAATTATAATAATATTTAATTTTGTCAAGTTAAAATTAAGAAAAATTGTGTTTTAACACAAATTTTTGACAACATTTTAATACAATGCACATATTATTTTCTCACTGATTCATTATTTAATTATTATTATACTGATATACTCTAAAATCAATGAAAAAATGATAAGTGTGTTGTGTTAAAATGTGGTAAAAAAAATTGTGTTCACCTATCATTATTTAAAAATAATATGAATTTTGTTCATCTATTTAACCTAAAAGAAAAAAAAATACTAAAAAAAATGAGAAAGAGTAGTAACTTTTGTTAGTGGAAGAATAAGGTAGTGAATCCCACTTGGGCCAAAATGTGAAAGGCCGTATTTTATACTAACTTTTGTCAGTGGAAAAAAGCCCTTTATTTATTGCCAACAAAAAGTAGCCCATTGTTATGCATTAGTTAAATGCAAATCTCCATTAACTTTAATGGTTTTAAGGATTCCAAACCCAACTAAAATACTACTAAGATTATGTTTCTTTACCATATATAAAATTTATTTATCACAAAAGCATGGCAAAGGAACTGAAAAGAAGCTAACTTTCAAAAGTTCTCCACAGTTGTCTCATTGGAATCACAGCTTGCGGTGCAAGATTCAAGCACAGCTTCAGATGCCCTTCGTGAACATATCACACAGTGCCATGTCACTTTTCTCTAAAAATATAAATATATTTAACCCTTAGATATTAAAGATTAATTGTAGAATCAATATTAATAATAAAAAATTATAAAAGTGTTTGTGACATGTAAATAATAAGTAAGAAGGCGCGTGAATGGTGTTAATGAACAAGAATAGCGGAATGTACAGTTGTTGTAGTGTTTGTTATCACTTTTGCATTTAGAACTAACCAAATAAAAGACACAGAGTTTCGTAACTCATAAGTATGGTTGGATCTCACCTTAACCCAAAGTCGGTTCCTAAAATTATTGCTCTTTTCGCATTCCTATACTCTGCACTCTCCTACACACTCACCTTTTTTCACTCTTTTTCAAACTCTCTCTACCTTTCTTCTGCATAAACGATTCATGCCTCAATCACGTTTTCTCATGCTTCTTCTTCTTTCTTCGCTTCTCTTTCTCTCTTTACATCACGGTATGCCATTTCTACCTCTCCACCATTGTCGAATCAAATTACCGCTTTTTTCTTCTCTGTGTTCTGTTTCGGGTTTGCCCTTTTGTTTGATTCCATGGTTGTTCTGATGTTTATGTTTTTTTCTTTGTGAATTTTAAGGATTCGGCCGGGTGGCAATGATGGAGACTCATCAGGTAAAGACGGTTCCTTCATCAACAGTGGTTTGTTTTTGTTAAGTTTTACTTTTTCTTTTTCTGATTGGTGTTGCTAAAAATCTCTGAATTATTTATTGCTCTTTATAATTAAGTCTTGTGAGGTATTTTGTTATCATTATATGTTTTTTTAAGGAACAATTTAACACACTGTTGGTTTTTATTTTGATACTAAATTATAAATGTTTTCTCTTTAAGCAATTAGGTTAACAATATAAAAATGTCAAATTGATCATTTAGTCTTATTTTTACCTACTAAAATTACCAATACAAGATAAATTATCAGGGAATGGATACATCAATAGGCTTCAAAAGGGTGCATTTATCTGTGATGAAAATGGAGGAATAAATTAAAATTTGAATTTTTTGTTACTTTTGATTTGGGGTTATGGAGAAGAGTGTTAAATAAGAATGTGTTTTTGCTTCAGGGTTATCCCATTCGCAACATTCGCAAAATAGTGAAGTATGAGATTGAAGATTATGCTGATCCACAGCCAAATATCAATCCCAAGAATGGGTATATTTTCACCCCTCCTTCACCTACTCCAACTCCAACACACCCTCCAAAACCTTAAATGGAAGCACAAAACCAGAAGACTTCAACCACTGGTTTATGTTTTTCACAGAATTAGGATTTCGGCCACTGTGTTGCTGTTATGTTTATCCCTTCAATTTTTGTTTATGTTTTCAAATGGAAAATTGTGAATTATGCTAATAAATAAAGTGTTTGTTTATTTTGGCGCATCCTATGCTTCATCAGTAACTATTTATGTTAATTTAGTACTGTTTTTGGTATATGATGACTATGATGTAAAATTCGAGTCTGGGGTAAATGAAAGGGAGGTGTTATCTGCATCTTCCTGCATGGATCAATTATGAGTTCTTGCCAACTTATATTTAGTATAATAATAATAATAGTAATAAAATAAAAAGCAACACATGGAACCCTTTCTTCCATGAGTTATATGAATGACAAAAGACATGTAAATTAATAGTTGACTTATTATTGTCTCTATCGATGCATGATTAGCCAAGTTTTAAGTAAATCACAGTGTTGTTAATTGTCTTCACGTGCAATCTAGGGTACCGTGAGTAGATATATCAAACTAATAACATAAAATTGAATTTTTCCTTCTCTTCTCATGTGATTTACTTATCACATTATCACATCCTTTTGTTTTTATATGTTTATTTATACACTAAAATAAGAAACTTCTAAGAAGCGATTTATTAGTGGGGTGGGGTGACACCCAATAGTTTGTCGGTCTTATTTTCTCTTCACTTGCCAAATGCAATTTGACCTAACAATAGCTTATATTTTTATGTAAAAAGTGTTATTTGCAAATTAATTTGTTGCTGTTTAGAAGGTGCTGAGGTGATTTAGTCAACAGAATATTGTTTGGATGATGTGTTCAATCTACGAATGTTAGGAGGGTAATTGAAAATGTCAATAGAAACATCATTTTGTAGGTTTGAACAACACTTTCGGTGGAGCTGTTATATATCTGTTTTGAGAAATTATTAGTAATTTCTGATGACATGTTTTTCTATAAGAGTAACAGTTTTTTAGCTGATAAAAATTGGAAACTTTTAAATGGTCCATTAAGTAGTTTAATTTAATGTCAACAAATGAAGGATGGTAACAAATTTGGTAATGATCAAATTACCATAATAGAGTTTGGTAAAGCGATAGGTGTGATTATCTAACACAATGTTGTACCAGTTTTTATGTTTCGTTAACAAGTTCATTTATGCTGTAATAAAAAAATATTAAAATTATTTCCAATATATTAAGCGATTTTTTAACAACGTAAAATAAATTATTTGTTTGTTGAAAGGAAAGAAACTGATATTTAGTTAGTTAAGATAGTTTAGAGAAAAATTAAAAGGTATAATTCTAAGTCTTCATTTTTTGTTGGAGTGAAGCTGATATTTTTTTAGTATTGAAATTGATAATGATTTTTCAATGTTTATTAACTCATAATACATATTTAATTGAAAGCCCATTTTTTGCCTATTTATCATGGAAATTTTTATTCTCTGAAGTACAGTGAGGTAAGGATTGTTGGGGGATTTAAAAAGTAACACTAATTCCTCAAATTAAACCATTGCAATAATAATATGTTTGCATAAAGGGAAGGACAATTTCTTACTATTATAAATGGACCAAATATGCATGGAAAAGGAAAGCCACCACAGCAAAGATAACACTACTCAAATTCCAGTACATTGCATACTGTGTTTCTTTTCGTTATTGCTATGCATAACCTATACAAAGCGTCACCATCTCTAAATTAAATTTATTACATACTTGTGCAACAATCAATGCAATATTGTAAAAGTGAATAAATTTATGATAACTAATAGTTTGTAATAGAATAATAATACAAAAAAGTTTTTTTCACTGACAGTGGTACATACACTACTTGCCTTTTTTTTTTTACTGTATTCTCTCTAAAATAAGATCCACTAAATAGATAAGATTTTGTTTCTGGTAAGCACTAAATAAGGAGGATGAGCCATTTTTATTTTAGTACATTTTACATAAATTTCAATAAAATGTAAACGTGTGTTAGATAAAATAGATATAGCACCGTTCTCTGCACAAACATTGAATCAGTATTACAACTAAAAATGCCTTGGGCAAATGCATGATTCAACTCAAACAAAAATTTGCATCTGCACAAACATCAATACTGGCAAATCTAACATTTTAAAACACAACAAAAAGTGATGACTCATCAACAAAAGATAAGCACAGCAAATAAATTGCCGAGGAAAAGTTATACACCAAAACTAGTTTTTCTGAAAAATAATATAAAAATTGAAACTTAAGAATAAAATAAAGAAAGTATCTTTCGCTGAAAGTATGGAAAATAATCTAAGCAAAAGAAAAAGCAACTTGGCCAGAACAAATTATGGTCGAAAAGAAAAAAAAAACTAATGTACAACAATATCAGAACACAGCAGTCAATATTCATCAGTACTGAGAATGAAATTTCCACAACAGCATACTCAATTCACCCATTGTTAAATCCTATCCCCCTTATTATTATATCTTATATTTTGTTGCCAAACCTCTTGCAACTATTTTTTCAAGTTTGAATAGTGCAAGTTTCCTGAATGTGCTGCTCTGTGAGAAGCTTAGTGGTATGAACATATTCAGAAACAGAGGGAACATCTATGGACTCCAAGCTAATGGATTTCACCGAAAATTGGCCATCAAGAGCCTTAATAGTTCTCTCAATAAAATCTGATCTAGGCAAATACTCTTTCATTCGACAAATAAAATCCATGTGACTTCTTCTCTGCAGCATAGCAATCAAATGTTAATATGGATTGGTAAACAACTGAAGCAAAAGAAACTTGAAAAATGTAAGTTTGACGACATCTGGAGACAAGAACCCACACCAGATTAACACAAACACGCAAGAATAGAAGAAAAATAAGTGAGGTCTGGCATTTAATGCAGTAGACTCCTATTTTGAGCAAAATGCCGATGAAGATATCATGGAGACTAAATAATTCAACTTTTGTTCACCTAAAAGTCATCCATAGTAAAAATTATTCACATAATATACATTTAGTAATCATAGAAGTCAAGAAAATATGTAAAGGAATAGAAATATTTCACTTAAGTAATTACATTAGCAGATACGCCAATAGGTAGTAGATGCAATTCAAAATGAAGAAAAAATTATTTCTCATTCGAATTCATTCAACTCTTTGTCTCTGCACATGCTACCTTTTCTAGATGAGATATACTCGAATTTCTAATATACCAGGAACGTCAAGGTTACAAACAGGATACACTTTCATGCTATTATTTGATTAGACAAATCCGGTAGCGTCGTATCATCAGATAGAAGAATACAACATCATCCCAAAATATCTCACCTTCCTTTTTTAAAACATGTCAAACTTTTGCTTTAGTTTGGAACAAGTTTGAAACACCAAGCTTTTTCATCAAGTCATCTTAATCAGAAATGTGTGTACGACAACAGCCTTATAATCTGATTAAAAAACTACGCATGGCATGCACCATACAACCAACCAAAAGAAGATAATGAACAAAGGGCTCATCAAGAACTCCAATGCAGAAAAAGGTAGAAGGAAAAAGAATATAAGCTTACTAATCGGTACTGAGGAACCTTTGCAGGTAACTTGAGATAAGACATGTTCTTGACATCATAATCCCATAAAAATGATGTGTGGTGTACCCACCGATTCTTGGTTATAGACTGAGCATTTCCACCAAACTTACGATCACCTAACACATAATCTTTACACACAAAGGAAAGAACAATCCAATTAGCAACGAATTATAAGTTTAATGAAACAGATTACAAAAGTTCAAATTTAACCAGACTTTAAATCAATAAATGGAATCAGTCTATCTGCTTCTCAAAAGTAAAATCAGAAGCTTTTGGCATGCTTTCTAGAAGAACTTGATCGTTTTCATGCTTTCTATACCACATTCAAGTTTGATGGGGAAGACAATAAGAAAATTGTCACCATTGAATTGAAATACAACTTAAACTCGTATATGCATCGATTGTGAAGAAACAAAATCAAATTTTGACCCCTTTCACAAGGTTTGATTGATAATCTACTAATGAGAACCAGCATTATATAATGCAAATCACTCACGCATGTCCAGACCATCAATTTCCTCTGGACGTCTAACATAAAATTGGATAGTATAATGATCACATAAATATTGTAAAAATCATATTGATACAAGACTCGATCAATGTACCATTCTCACGGAGATGGAAATCAGCAAGCCCTTTAAAAACTTCACTGTATAATAAACCACTCCATGACATGATACTTCGGGGAAAGGGTTGCACATTTGAAACGGCATCTTTATTGCATATCAACGTAACAAATATAGTGTCATGGTCAACAACAACAGTTCCTCCCCCGGTAAACCTTTTGATAATGGGTATACGATCTTGCAACACAGGCTTGACTTCGACCAGTTCTGAAAGTTTCCTATGTATACACATTGAAATTACATATCTTTTTCCTTGGTGATTATTAACAAGAGAGAAAGTGGAATGAAAGAGACTTTACACAAATAAAGAAAAACAACAATAAACCTATGGAAAATAGCATTCATTTGCTAGATCCTAGTGCTATTAAAAAAGTCTGAAGCATTTTTCATATCTGAGAATGCAAGACTCTCACAAGATCGATGAAAAACCAACCCCATGGAGGAGGTGAGAACTCAACATTCACATAATCTGTGAATGATTTTAACAGGTTAACCACAACATTACTGTTCTCCTCCTTCCCCTCCCTTTCTCCAAATGTTTTCATGCTCTACTCATCTCTCGGGACTGTCACTTACACCACCTCCACACTATGAACACCAATGTTATAACAACCAACCTAATATCATCGCACTGCACTCCTGTCATCCTTGTATTGTACCTCAAGTTCATCACTGAAAACCTAAAATGTTTCCAGTGTCACCACTGCCACTGCCGGTGGTGTAATTTTGAAAATTGAACAAACGTGATTTTGGGAAAATGGTCAAGATTAGTGGGAATTTGTTTGAACCAGACTTATCAGTTTGCGAAAGTTGTTCCAAAAATATTCCTGAATGTGTTGTATTTTAATCAAGCCAAACACAGGCCCATTAATGACGTGTACCCTAGTTAGTCCATCAATATAGCACAAAGTCACAAAATTACACTATAGGGTAGGAATCAACACTGGTACTAAACCTAGACTATTTTCAACGTATAAACTTATCTGTTTATACAGGTGCATCTGCATATTAGACTCCATGGAGACTCTTTAAGTGTACAAATAATAGATAAACTGGAAACATAGATATTCGTGTCAAATAAAATTTTCTTTAAAGGTATAAAGAAATACCCAGACAAGCCCATTACAATGGCAGGGGAATTTGTTCCATCGTTGATGAGGCACCAATTATCTGAACTGGTTCGAAGCAGCCGTTCCTCTAAATGCAATTGCTGCAAAATAGGCATCCCTCTCAACTTAATCAACTTCATCAATGGAAGTCCTGCTTCTTTTGCCTTACCCATCACAGCCATTATCTGGTTCTTTGATTCTGCGATTGAATGAAATCAATGAAAATTGTCATAAAGTACAAGCAGTGAACCACAATAGAAAAAACTAAAAAAATCAAATGAGCATGTTCTCAGACTTATTTGTCTTTCGTCTTAAAACAAGAATAGAAAAAGACAACAATAATAGTAAGTAACTTCGTAAATGCCAACTTTGTAGATTTCAATTGAAGAACAACAGAAAAGAAAATAGAATAGAAACCGAGAAAATTACCAAGTGAAAGATAATTAGAAAATAATGGGAATGAGGATTCGTGCCCACCCAACAGAGTACTACCAACAAAAACTAAAGCTGATTGATGAAAGCACGCCCAATCGTGATGAGTAGAAGAAACTTTGTTTGAATGAATCCAGAATGTTCAAGCAATAACAAAACAATACAACCAGTTAAAGACGCATTTTATCAAACAGGTTCGGTGAGTAGCGGAAATATCTTAACATCTACAGACAAAACTATTGAGAGGGGACCGTGTTAAATTGTGAGTCGATATAAAAGTGAGTGAGAAGGTGTGTATCTTTTTTGTCACTTGTACTCATTTTCTCAGTTTCTGAAAAAAACATTAAACAACACTTAAAAGAGTAAGTATTAAATTAAAGCAATAAGATGAGTGGGTGAGACGAGCCAATGAAGAATAAAAGAGATGGAAATAATGTTTCAAACCTGATGAATGTGGTGGCGCCGTCTAGGGTTTCTTAGGGCTCGCCGGAGGCTTGAGAGCGTCGGCGAAAACAACGGTGGGGGACAATGAGAATCGTTAACGAAAACTGAGTTCAGTGCACCAGATTTTGTTTGAAACTTATTTTGTTAGAGAGGGAAAGTAAGAAATTAAGGGAAAAGAAAAAAATACTAAAATTTACCGCAGTTGATAAATATTTAATTTTTTTACTCTGCTATGATATGAAAAATAAAATGCACACATTAAGATTATGGATGCAAACATGTTATAAAATTATAAGGAAATAAACACGTGATATCAACATGTTATAGTTTAGTAGTAAATTTTCGATATAATTTTTTATCCCGATTAAAATTTAATTTCAATTCAAGATTAACTTTGTATTCAAAATTGATTACTTAATGTCTGAATAACCCTAAAAATATTTGTCTAAAATCATATTAACCGATGTTTTAACATGATTTTATTAATTTCACTTATATCATTTTTCAACACTAAATTCGTTATTCAAATATGTTTTTCACAGATTTCTTTTCTGTTGAAATTATGTTTAGTATCATAAATTTCATTTATTTAATATATTTTTTTCTAAGTTTTGTTTCTTTGTACGTTCTTTTTTTTTTCTTGTTTTGAATTGGATTTGCAAGAGACACTATACCCAAACAAAAAGCCTTGTATTTTTCTCAGACAAAAGAACAAACAACTGGACTCTTGATTTATTATCTGATGAATACTTTTCACACCCCCTTTTTTATTATAAATTCTATTATCGCTCTTATTTTTCTACTGTTCCAGAATTTAAATTATGTGGTTCTGCAGTTTGTGATCCGGATAGTTTACTTGAACTGAGTCTAGACTATAATACTCTGATGTAACAGTGATAAGAAAGATTATGCAGAGGATAACTTAACGAGTCAGTAATGTTAGGCCAGGTTTTGGGCTGAGAAGGGTTGTTACAATGGTTGTAGCACAGTGTATTTATAAGTATTGTTTTGTGAGAACGGGGTAAACATTTCTAGAGGGGGCCGAGGGTTTTAAGTGCTTAACTTGGTTCATGATGTTATGTTTTTGTTGCATAAATGTGTTAATATGTTCTGGTGAATGATTTCTGGTTATTTTGAGACGAAACCAAGCTGACATATATGTGGTCATAGTCGTTAAGAGGTGAGTTTTAAGTCTAACTCAATTTTACAAAATTGACTTATAAGGTATGGTTTGTTTTCATTTATATATTATAAATTGACCTTATCTCTAATCGATGTGGAACTCCCAATACACTCTCCGTCAAGGTATAAACATCATCTAGAGTGTGAGACTAGACATTAATGGGTGTTCTGATAATGGTCTGATAACATGTGGAATAACATGTCCAAGAAACAACAATTATCGCTAGGATNAAATTATTGCTCTTTTCGCATTCCTATACTCTGCACTCTCCTACACACTCACCTTTTTTCACTCTTTTTCAAACTCTCTCTACCTTTCTTCTGCATAAACGATTCATGCCTCAATCACGTTTTCTCATGCTTCTTCTTCTTTCTTCGCTTCTCTTTCTCTCTTTACATCACGGTATGCCATTTCTACCTCTCCACCATTGTCGAATCAAATTACCGCTTTTTTCTTCTCTGTGTTCTGTTTCGGGTTTGCCCTTTTGTTTGATTCCATGGTTGTTCTGATGTTTATGTTTTTTTCTTTGTGAATTTTAAGGATTCGGCCGGGTGGCAATGATGGAGACTCATCAGGTAAAGACGGTTCCTTCATCAACAGTGGTTTGTTTTTGTTAAGTTTTACTTTTTCTTTTTCTGATTGGTGTTGCTAAAAATCTCTGAATTATTTATTACTCTTTATAATTAAGTCTAGTGAGGTATTTTGTTATCATTATATGTTTTTTTAAGGAACAATTTAACACACTGTTGGTTTTTATTTTGATACTAAATTATAAATGTTTTCTCTTTAAGCAATTAGGTTAACAATATAAAAATGTCAAATTGATCATTTAGTCTTATTTTTACCTACTAAAATTACCAATACAAGATAAATTATCAGGGAATGGATACATCAATAGGCTTCAAAAGGGTGCATTTATCTGTGATGAAAATGGAAGAATAAATTAAAATTTGAATTTTTTGTTACTTTTGATTTGGGGTTAAGGAGAAGAGTGTTAAATAAGAATGTGTGTTTTTGCTTCAGGGTTATCCCATTCGCAACATTCGCAAAATAGTGAAGTATGAGATTGAAGATTATGCTGATCCACAGCCAAATATCAATCCCAAGAATGGGTATATTTTCACCCCTCCTTCACCTACTCCAACTCCAACACACCCTCCAAAACCTTAAATGGAAGCACAAAACCAGAAGACTTCAACCACTGGTTTATGTTTTTCACAGAATTAGGATTTCGGCCACTGTGTTGCTGTTATGTTTATCCCTTCAATTTTTGTTTATGTTTTCAAATGGAAAATTGTGAATTATGCTAATAAATAAAGTGTTTGATTATTTTGGCGCATCCTATGCTTCATCAGTAACTATTTATGTTAATTTAGTACTGTTTTTGGTATATGATGACTATGATGTAAAATTCGAGTCTGGGGTAAATGAAAGGGAGGTGTTATCTGCATCTTCCTGCATGGATCAATTATGAGTTCTTGCCAACTTATAATTAGTATAATAATAATAATAGTAATAAAATAAAAAGCAACACATGGAACCCTTTCTTCCATGAGTTATATGAATGACAAAAGACATGTAAATTAATAGTTGACTTATTATTGTCTCTATCGATGCATGATTAGCCAAGTTTTAAGTAAATCACAGTGTTGTTAATTGTCTTCACGTGCAATCTAGGGTACCGTGAGTAGATATATCAAACTAATAACATAAAATTGAATTTTTCCTTCTCTTCTCATGTGATTTACTTATCACATTATCACATCCTTTTGTTTTTATATGTTTATTTATACACTAAAATAAGAAACTTCTAAGAAGCGATTTATTAGTGGGGTGGGGTGACACCCAATAGTTTGTCGGTATTATTTTCTCTTCACTTGCCAAATGCAATTTGACCTAACAATAGCTTATATTTTTATGTAAAAAGTGTTATTTGCAAATTAATTTGTTGCTGTTTAGAAGGTGCTGAGGTGATTTAGTCAACAGAATATTGTTTGGATGATGTGTTCAATCTACGAATGTTAGGAGGGTAATTGAAAATGTCAATAGAAACATCATTTTATAGGTTTGAACAACACTTTCGGTGGAGCTGTTATATATCTGTTTTGAGAAATTATTAGTAATTTCTGATGACATGTTTTTCTATAAGAGTAACAGTTTTTTAGCTGATAAAAATTGGAAACTTTTAAATGGTCCATTAAGTAGTTTAATTTAATGTCAACAAATGAAGGATGGTAACAAATTTGGTAATGATCAAATTACCATAATAGAGTTTGGTAAAGCGATAGGTGTGATTATCTAACACAATGTTGTACCAGTTTTTATGTTTCGTTAACAAGTTCATTTATGCTGTAATAAAAAAATATTAAAATTATTTCCAATATATTAAGCGATTTTTTAACAAAGTAAAATAAATTATTTGTTTGTTGAAAGGAAAGAAACTGATATTTAGTTAGTTAAGATAGTTTAGAGAAAAATTAAAAGGTATAATTCTAAGTCTTCATTTTTTGTTGGAGTGAAGCTGATATTTTTTTAGTATTGAAATTGATAATGATTTTTCAATGTTTATTAACTCATAATACATATTTAATTGAAAGCCCATTTTTTGCCTATTTATCATGGAAATTTTTATTCTCTGAAGTACAGTGAGGTAAGGATTGTTGGGGGATTTAAAAAGTAACACTAATTCCTCAAATTAAACCATTGCAATAATAATATGTTTGCATAAAGGGAAGGACAATTTCTTACTATTATAAATGGACCAAATATGCATGGAAAAGGAAAGCCACCACAGCAAAGATAACACTACTCAAATTCCAGTACATTGCATACTGTGTTTCTTTTCGTTATTGCTATGCATAACCTATACAAAGCGTCACCATCTCTAAATTAAATTTATTACATACTTGTGCAACAATCAATGCAATATTGTAAAAGTGAATAAATTTATGATAACTAATAGTTTGTAATAGAATAATAATACAAAAAAGTTTTTTTCACTGACAGTGGTACATACACTACTTGCCTTTTTTTTTTTACTGTATTCTCTCTAAAATAAGATCCACTAAATAGATAAGATTTTGTTTCTGGTAAGCACTAAATAAGGAGGATGAGCCATTTTTATTTTAGTACATTTTACATAAATTTCAATAAAATGTAAACGTGTGTTAGATAAAATAGATATAGCACCGTTCTCTGCACAAACATTGAATCAGTATTACAACTAAAAATGCCTTGGGCAAATGCATGATTAAACTCAAACAAAAATTTGCATCTGCACAAACATCAATACTGGCAAATCTAACATTTTAAAACACAACAAAAAGTGATGACTCATCAACAAAAGATAAGCACAGCAAATAAATTGCCGAGGAAAAGTTATACACCAAAACTAGTTTTTCTGAAAAATAATATAAAAATTGAAACTTAAGAATAAAATAAAGAAAGTATCTTTCGCTGAAAGTAAGGAAAATAATCTAAGCAAAAGAAAAAGCAACTTGGCCAGAACAAATTATGGTCGAAAAGAAAAAAAAAACTAATGTACAACAATATCAGAACACAACAGTCAATATTCATCAGTACTGAGAATGAAATTTCCACAACAGCATACTCAATTCACCCATTGTTAAATCCTATCCCCCTTATTATTATATCTTATATTTTGTTGCCAAACCTCTTGCAACTATTTTTTCAAGTTTGAATAGTGCAAGTTTCCTGAATGTGCTGCTCTGTGAGAAGCTTAGTGGTATGAACATATTCAGAAACAGAGGGAACATCTATGGACTCCAAGCTAATGGATTTCACCGAAAATTGGCCATCAAGAGCCTTAATAGTTCTCTCAATAAAATCTGATCTAGGCAAATACTCTTTCATTCGACAAATAAAATCCATGTGACTTCTTCTCTGCAGCAAAGCAATCAAATGTTAATATGGATTGGTAAACAACTGAAGCAAAAGAAACTTGAAAAATGTAAGTTTGAC